GGCAGGGCCCCCCTCCCCAACCGCCGCAGCAACGGCACCAGGAAAAGGAGAAAGAAAACACGACACCCTTCACAGCAGGAAACCAAACGGACGAGCACCTCAGGAACAAGAACTGTCACACTCCAGAACGCTATATACGAGAGAGAGGTCAGCGTGACGGCTCGGGGCAGGGGTCGCCTCGCACGGGCGCAGGAAGCCGGCTGGCAGGGGACCGGTCCCCGGGCAGGACGGGAGACTCCTTGGACACTGCAGAAATACACCACACGGGGTCCAGCACTTCACCGAGAACAAAACCAAAACCTACACGCTAGCATGGGGAAGCAGCACTCGAGAGGGGACCACGTCCCCGCTGACATCCAGCCCAGAGCCTGCAGAGCTTGTTCACCACATATGTGCCACTCAGCCATGGCTTCGCCCCTGCCCTCCCTTACACAGCGTGTCCTCATCGAACACGCTTGTCCACTCGGAGCAGGCTGGGGCCACAGGCAAGCAAGCACAGCACAGAGGAGGAGAAACGACAGCGTTAACATCTGGTGGAGTCAGTGCTGCCACCTGCTCTGTCCTCCTGACTCACAGTCTCACTCCAAAGCAGCGCAGTCTCTTACCAGCAAGAGCACAGCTGCCGCTCAGCAGGCAGGGAAGGACCCGGACATTCCTTGCTGCAGAGTACAATGGAAGCGAGTGCACCGTGGCTGCAGAATTGCCCATCATCACCTGCTCTGTTGATGAAACCCTCCTCACACCGCAGTCTCCAACCCCTGGAGCTCAGTTCCTAACCAGCCTCTTCCCCCCCCGCCCCCGCCAACCTTGGCTGCTCACCCTGCTGAGGTCAGGCCTGCAGCTGGGTTCAGAATGGTGCTTTAGCTTCCATCTCTGGCCGACTCCAGGGACGACAGGGTTGGGACCAACACCCCAGGCAAACTAGAGGTCTCCTTGTTTTGGAACATCTCACCTCTTCCCGGCACCACATCACCGTCTGGAAGACAAAGGTTAGAGCCCAGAGTTCTGTGCCGAGTGCTGCTCAGTGCGTAGCCCATCCAGTGAATGGCTGGGAAGCGGCATGTCAGACACTTCAGCTCAGAGAAGAGAAAGGCCAGGGCTAGGAGGGGGAAGCCTGGAGGCAACGTTCTAACCCGCTCCTTGTTCAGGAAGTTCACTGGGAAAAGCATCCCAAACAGCTTCTCTCTAAACTCCCAATCAATCAGAGCAAAGCTGATCTCCCCCTCCAGCAGGAAATCCCCAACTACCTGCTCTCTCCTGACACATTGCGGCTTTCATCAGGTTTACGTGCTTCTCAGCCCAGAGGACAGCAGTATCAGTTCAGCTACATGATAAACACATCACCAAAACCCACCTAGTATGGCGAACCGCACCTCCCCACAAGACTGCAGTTTCACTTGTGCCATCCTGGTCTGTCTCCTCCGCTCAGGAGCCGTTCAGCAGCCAGGGGATCACACGGACTTCAGCCCCACATCTTGCTTCTCTAAAACAACTCGGTAATCAGCTCAAATCTTTGGGGAGGGGAGAGAGGGATCAAAGTGTTTGTGGAAATGGAGCCTGGCCACAAATAGCTTCTCAGCTGTGTCACACAGCTGTAAGTCTAAGCACTCTTCCAACACGCACAGACAGAAGCTGCACCAGGAAAGACATTAACCACGCCACAGCTTAATGTTCAGTAATATGCAGACACTCGGGACTAGCACTGCCACCGCACTGCCCAGAAGGCGGGCAGGCTTGCCCCTCTTGTCAGATGAGCCGCAAGAGCAACACAAGTTCTGACCACAGGATCCAATTCCAGAGTTAAATCCCATCAGCCTCCTTCTAAACTTGGACGATTCTCCCTTGTGTTACTTCTCTACCAGCTTTGCTGGAGGAAGGAAAGCACAACGTTTTCCCCGTTCAGGTAACTGAGCTACCTGCTGTCAGCTGCTCAGCAAGAGGCGCGAGCTGCCCGTGCTCCTGCAGTGCGCCTCTGCAGAGAAGCGTTTTCTGGGCAAGCATCACTACTTAGTTGCACCAGCCATTTGTTTTTGCCTTCAAGAACAGCAGCACCTTTGCCTGCGTGCCAGAATCCTTCAGGAGAATTTGGAAAGATTCCAACTCAATCTCTCGAGTTGAGCTTAGGGAAAATGACGGCAGCATGAAACGACAGCACATGGCAAAGGCAGCCACTGGCACCACCACACCACAGCGCCACGCAAGAGCTCTGAGAGCACAGAGAGCGCAACACAAGGGGACACAACGGAAGCCAGCAAGGTCGAGAATAAGTCACTTTTGGTACAATTGCAAAAAGATATCAAACAGGACTTGCCTCTTTTTTTGTCTTTTTCTAAGTTTTATAAATAAAGTCTGATAACTCTTTATAAAAACTAACCTCAGAGCCACAAACAGTTTGCGGGAGGTTCATGAGAAACTTTAAAATTATTTATTTATTAACTTTTAACTAGCAAAGTCTCCGAGAATATTTCCCCATCCATATGGTCAAATATTCTCGCCCTCTCAGATAAAAAAGCTGACTATAAATACGCTCTCTCTTCTGTCTGATTTTAATTTTAAACTTAGATAATTTAATAACTCTTAAAATGATGTTTCTCTCTTTAAATAAAGGGCTATTTAACCACATAAACTGGTTGTGTAAACCATCACACTAGAGACACTTGATACCCTCAAAACACGGGAACAACTAGTGATTTTGGTCTTGTTCAGTGCAACACATTAGGCACAAAACCGGCCTGCAGTCAACACGGTACCTTCCCTCCCTCCCTCCCCTGGGGTGCTGGGCCCCTGCAAGGGCCCCGTCCCGGCTCCTTCCCCCCTGCTGGGGCAGAGGCAGCAGGGCACGACAGCATCTTCCTTTCCACCACTGCTAGTTTACACGGCTAACGCAACGGACGTCTGAAGGAAACCCACTGTTAGGGCACAGAGGCACACCTAGAAAGGAATAAAAACCTATTACACAGAACACCCCAACTGTGACTACGGGTACCAAATGAGACAAAAGCAGCAGGTTCGGGCGCCGGGCAGTTAGGCGCCGAGATGCACCACCTGGAAGAGTAATGAAATAAAGCCTTTGGAAGTGACCGAAAACCAGGGTTCCCGGCCCCCAGGAAGAAAGCCTCCCTACGGACCTTCCCCAAGCCCCTCTGCCGCCCTGCCGTCGGCCACGCTGCACAGACTTTCTTTGGCTGGAAAACCAAAATCTTGCAGTCTGTCCCACGGGCGCCCGAGGGCTACAGACCGCTGGGTGGGAGGCTCTGTCTGCACAGGACAAGGGACGCATCACCACTGCTCATACCAATCTGGACACAACAAAATAAAACTGGAGTGATCAGCAGGCCAGTCCTGGGCCAAGTAGAAGGAACCCAGACCCGTGTGGGGAGGGTTTGTGCTTTGGGGATTCCAGGCTGGTTTTGTGCCTAATTGCCCTGCACAGACAAGCTCAGGCAACGCTCGCTTCACTAAGACCGGGCGTCCGTTTTGGATTTCACTATCGTGATGACACTAGTAGTAGCAACCTTGCCAGGGACGAGGGGCCCCATACTGGAGGTGAGAGGCCCCCGCGCAGGGGTCACGGGGCTCCGGGCCACGGTTCTGGCGAAGTTCTGGAGAGCCTCGTATTTGGAGCGGAGAGCATCGAGTTCCATTTTCATGCTGGCGTTCTCGGAGGCCAGCTTCTCCACTTCTTGCTGCAACTCTGCCTTCTGCTTCTCCAGTTCCTCCTTCTGGGTAACACGCTTGACTCTGCAGCTGGCCGCGTAGCCCCGGTTCTTCAGCGTGCGCCGACGCTGCTTCAGCTGGATGATCTCCTCCTTCGACAGGCCCCGCAAATGCTGGTTCAGCTCCCGCACAGACATGGTCACCAGCTCCTCATCTGTCAAGCTGGTCCCATTCTCGCCTGGCTCCCGCTTCACCTGGAAGAGAAGGCAGCACACAGCCGTGAGACTTGGAGCGGGTGCCTGCACCCGCTACCCGCACCCCTCTCCTCCACCTGCCGCTTTACCTTCAAGGCCTTGTTTCCTTTGTTGGGGGTCGTCATAACACGACAGCCTTGTCAATCAGGTTCTGGAAGGGAAGGAAGGTCAGGTTAGCCCCTCAGGAGACAGGAGAGCCTGCGACATTCCCCTGGCAGGGTCCAGCAGCAGTGCCCCATGCTGCTGCACATCCCACTCCCCCCTCCCCAGACCGCACTCGACAAGCACGCGACTGAGCTGGACTCACAAACGGCAGATTCTGTCCCTGAGCAGAAACTGCTGCCCTTCCACACCCCTACTCCCACGGCGACTTTGTGACAATGCTGTTTTTTTTCGCTTGGGGTGGGGGAAATTAAAAAACTAGGAGGAGTCAGAATACACGGAAGCCACATTTTTAAAAATAGCCTGGCAGGCAGCAGGCTGGGTCCAGAGCACGGCTGCTTCGGGCCAGTCATGCTGACTCAGCACGCTGGCACTCTGCGCCTCTTGCTCCCAGCCTCATCCTTGTCACTCCCAGGCAGAGCACGGCAGCCAGTCGCTCCAACGCGCCCTTCCCACAGCTGGCCAAACACGGCCCAGAAACTCCCCAGGACAAGAGTCCTACCAGATTCCAAATGCCCCCAAGGACACGCGACCCTGGGCAAGGAGTACAGGGGAAGCCCATGCCTCCACGACACACCTCGCCGGGCATCCTGCGGGACAGGGGAGCACCACCGCTGCTCTCGCACCTCTCCAAACTTTTTCTGCTTCCCAGGAAAGCCAGCACATCCACGTTCAAGTCAAAGTTCCGCACCCAACCTTTCCCAAGGAGCAGAAGGACAACCTGATACAAGGAATTATTTGGGCACACTGGAATCCCATCACAAATTTGGGCTGATGCCTCAGCAGCCTTCACCTCTCCCAGTCACACAGAGCTGACCGCAGCTGTAGGTCTCCTCTGTGAGAAAGTCCCTACTGGTGTCTGGCAATGCCAGGGCACAGACCCACCTGCTCTATCCCAAGGTGTGCTCATAAGAAAACAAAGATTACAGGTGGCCAAAACCAGAGGGGAGCAAACTCCTTCATTGCCACAGGAGACACGACATCAGAACTGGTAAGAGCAATTCCCAGGCCCGTTTGTACAACGAATCATACCCAAGCTCCTGATCCTGTCCCCACACACCTCTTCCCCTCAGGCTTTAGTTCAGGGTGCTGCTACACTGCCCAATGAATTAATCTGCCCAGATATTGCTCGACAGACATAGCTGTGCCTCAGACAGCCAGGAACTGCAGACCTCCTTAAGCGAGGCAAGTGTTCCTGTCCAAGCACAGCCTACAAACACCTCTGTATCTTTCATCTCTTTGGTGCCAAACAGTCAACAAAATTTTGTTTGCTACTGCTTTGCTAAATGTAAGAGGCACTGATATACAGTAATAGCCAAGAACTCGATGCAGAAGTCAGCAAATACAAATTTATGCTCTTCTAGCAGCTGTGGCGCAGGCTCCCCGCAATGCATCTACCACCTATTAGAGGTGAATGGGGTCAGCATTCCCCAGGACACCGGCAGAGACGCTCCCAAAGCCTCCAGCCTGCCGGCAGGCAGGCTATTTATACCCTGAGGACAATGCTTCCAATGAGATGTCCGCTACAACCCGACCGTGCTGGTGCAGAAAGGGTCACTTTGTCATCCAGGGAAGGTAGCTGCAAAGAAGCAGGCTGACACAGAACGGACAGCACACAACCAACTGCTTCATAAAATCCCTTCTTTGCTCTTTCCCGTACTGTTGTATCTCTTTCCTCTGCTCCTACTTGGCAAAGAACGCAGCTGCTGAGGAAAGGGGAAAAGGAAGGAACAGCCGGGGAGACCAGTAACGTCACCCCTGCAGCACCTCTCTGCACCGTCCTCCGGCGAGCGTACGCAGCCCAGGGCAGGTATGGTCAGAGGGACCACCAAAATTTGTTTGCCTCGCAGGGCTAAAGAATTTCCAGCTGCCTGGCAAGCACTCAAGCTTCCTTCATTACAGCACAGCTGAAATAAAACAAACAAGGCAACAAACGTGCTGCATCAGGCAGGGTGGTGGGAAGAGAGCGGCTTGGGGCAGGCTGGGGGATCAGCAGGGGCACCCGCACAGCCCAGACCCTGCAAGGTCCCCCTTCCCAAGGGGATCAAAATGAGACGCAGCAACACACAAGTCAGTCAGAACGGGAAGAACAACCCAGAGACGAGCTGTTGGCTATTTTTTGGGTCCCGTTTGAAGGATCAGACACAGGGCTATTTGGCAGCTCGCAGAGGACACCCAGAGAACTGGCACCAAGACAGAGACCAAACTTGGCCTAACTCTCCAGACTGCTGATTGCTCAGCTTTTGATAGCTTCCTGAAGAAAGATCACACTGAAAAGTGCCAAACGCGATGACTGCAATGAAGAAAATGCAGCCTCAACACATTTCCCCAGAGCTCAAAAGGCCTGAACTCAGCACAAGCGCAGCCAATTCTCTCCTCAGCTCAAAGGCAGCACAAGGGAGCTGACAGCACCGCGCATGATTCAACGCAGGCCCCATTCTCCACATTCCTGATCACAGAACCGTGCCACGAGCCCCGTGTAAACACGGTGACGTCACCCGTTCCAGCGCAGGCTGGCCCGGAGACTGCGCCGGGAGGGAGCGAGACCCATCCGCAGGGACAGGGAGGCAGAGGAAGGGGCTGTGCCCCACACCGGGCTCCGCGGCACCAGGCAGGCAGAGGAGCGTGGTTCGCCGGCAGCAGTCGGGCACACTGCACGAGAACGCTCTCTCCTGGTGTGGGTTTCATACTCTGTTTATTTGCTTTCTTCTGAATTAGCTCACACAGCCCTCCCAGGAATCCAAATAAATCGGATGGCTCCCCCAGTTACACATGAAGTCAGGACAGTGCCTCTGCTGTGCCCCCCCGCCCCATGAGAGTCCCTGGTGACCCCACATCCAACCCGGGGCGCCCCGACAGCAGTTCCACCCCCAGGGAATCGGCCCACCCAGGCAGCTCTAACTCTGCTGACACAGGTACCAGAAGAGACGGCTCTCGGAGACCCCTTCCAGCCTTCTGGTAGTGCCCTCCTCTACCCACGCAGCTCAAATCGCGTGTTCCGGGCAGCAAGACCCCCCGGTGCACACAAACGCACACACACACACACAGACACGCGGGTGCTCCGTGCCGGTCAGGCATCGCAGACCCACCGGAGGGGCTTCAACCCACTGGGCTCCGAGGACGCCGCAGCGCCGAGCAGACCCCCAGCCCGCTCCGGGGGCCCGAACCTCGCACCGCGTCCCCTCGGCCGCCGGCTCTCCCC